GGAGCTTTAAGCTCCCTTCAACCCAAACGAGTGTGAGATTCCCTGAAAACAAGTGTTTCTGTGTTGTTAAATATTAAGGCATGCTGATTTAGTAGGATTTCTGTGGGAGCAGGGCTTTTGAGATGTGCACACAAACCACTTTGGGAAACGTGTGAGCCCTGGATGATAAAATCCACGCTGTTGTACAGATAAAGCTGATCTGGTGAGGGAGAAGTAGTGTCAGGTCTTCCCTCTGCTGTGCTCACCACTCGCCAGGTCCTGCTGTGAACCTGAAGTCTTGTCTTCATGGTTGTGGATTAAGTAGATTGAATGGATGGCTTTTAATGTGCCAGGTGTGTGAGCCCCAGTTCAGGCTATAAATAAATACAAACTGGGTTGGGAATCTGAAGAAAGAAAAGCCTATTCACCTCAATTTTTGTTTCTAAACTTATTTTGTAGGTGCATATTGAGAGCACAGGTTTATACTGAAGAATTGGGGGGGGGGTATGTTCAGTGATGGACTTTCTGAATACCATATAGCTCGTTCCTCTTCTGTTTGAAAAAGTACTTTTAAGTAAAAGAAGCTGGATATTGAGATTTTGACAAATGATTTGATTTCATAGCTGTCAACTGACTTCTGCTGATTTACTCCTTGTCTTTTGAAAGGCAAGTCCATGAGGTCCAATCTTACATGGGGCGCCTGGAGACTTCAGACAAGGAGTCGGTACACTGTAAGTAATTAATTGGTGAGAAAAGTCCCATTCCGGTACTGAATTGATTTAGCTTGCATCATTAACCTGTGGCTATATCATTGTATGTACAAATTGGGCTGTCCAGTCGTTGTGACACACATCACCAATTGGAAATGCGTTAGAATTATTTTGCTATTTCACTTCAGTAAGGTGATGTTTTAGATGAAGGACAGAGCAGAAAAGACAGAACAAGAATTTACTTCAAATCATCTTCCTGTTGTAAGTCTTGAATTGATTGATAGTGCTTACTGTGGATGCTTCTGCAGTGCCTTGATATGGGAACGCCAGATACCTTTTGGTGCTGGTAGATGCTGGAACTCATTGTCAGGGTATGCTGTGGAGGCCTTCAACATAAACAGGTTATAAAACCCCCCAGTGATGCAGTCATAGAGGTATAATGAACACATGGATGTGGACAGAACTGCAAATTCAGAACATCACCAGGCTAGTTTGGTAGAAGCTCAGAATGCTGAGAAATGTGACTGTAAATAGGTTTTGTCATTTTACTCTTCCTTAAGCATCCACTAACTGGCAGTCTTTCCCAAAAGATGCTTAGTCCAGTTTCTGGGGAAAATGCCATGATTTGGAGTGCAGGAATTTAAGCAGGATGATCCTTTTCCCACCAGAATCAGAACCTGTAATTCCATCTGCTCATGAGAAATATGTAAAACAACTAGGTCTGAAATTGCTTCAGTGGATTTGGACTATAACCCTGTGCTAAAACAATGACTGTAATAAAATACTGTGATATTTTCTGGCAGGACTTTTGCCCAGTGTATTTTGGACCTGTGTTTGGAACTTTTAATTTCTGTATGAGTAATTGCTAATGGGCCTCATCAGGAAGTTCTGAAGGGAAAGGACACTGCTAGGATTGTGTACCATTTTACACAGACAGTAAATGAACATACTATTTCTATAGATATATATTTAAGGACAGACACGTGGTCTAGATATTAGTATTTCAGAATTTATGGGAAAAAGGGATTCTTTTGGCTGGAGACCAGGAATAGAAGCCAGGAAGTCAACTTCCTGTTGCAGCTTTCCTTTTCCAACTGTGGGCAAATAATCCCTTCTTGCTCAGAAAAGCATGAGATGACCAAGGGGTCAGATGACCTAATAATACTAGTATTTGGACTAGCAAAAGCTAACATAGTCTGTCTGATCTCCTGGTTGCTCTTCTGTTAAGTTTAGCTGTACTAAATGATGGAGAGATGAATTAGGACAATTTGATTGATTTGTGTCTATATATGTGACTGTGTGAGATCAAAGGGCAAAGAAAAGGGATTGTAGGTGCTGTTTGCTTTTCTGAGTTCTGCTGAATGGGATTCTCTGTGAAGTCCTGAGATACTGTGGAGTAGCTGGCAGTGGGTTAATAATGCTTTTCTGTGTACCTCTTTAGTCTAAATGCAAAATAAGACCAAATGGTGTCTGTAGGATTTAGTGGTGATTTACAGCAGGTCTGAGCCTGCAGGACTGTCCCTGTGGCTGCACAGACATGACAGTGTCTGTCCTCTTGATAGTCTGGATGTGCTCTGGAGGGTGTGTACCTGCAGCCCCACAACTCACCGTCTTCAAACACACACATCAGGTGATTAATAGCGCTCCTGTCTTTTGCCCTTCCGTGCAATTCTTTGAGTTGTGAAATGCTGGGTTGTGACATGGTTAAATGCAGTTGTCAAATAAGGAAGGAGGTTGTGGCTTGTACTGAGTTTTGCTGTATAGCGTAACTGAAAGCATATGACTCTCTTTCCCCAGTTGTATCCACTTCCCACCTCATTAAAGTATGTGAGTTTGCACTGTGTACTATTGTCCCTTTGCTATTTCTACATAGGTTAACAGAAGCAATTGCAATGTAGATGAGTACAGAGGCAATTACAGTGGCCTTGTTTTCGCCCTTGAAAGGGCTTTGGCCAGATCTTTCTGAGCTGTTTGTCTGGTCTACCAGTTCCTGAATCCTTACCATGCTGTGTCAGTCTCCCCTGCTATAGGTATGGATGATGTGTATTAACTCTCTGTTAACAGTTTGCTATTAAATTGCCATTGTTGTGAGAATCATTTTGGCTATTAGCTCCTGTGAGCAAATCCTGTCAAGGGAACAGAGAGAGGATGCAGGGGGGAATGTGGGATCTTTAAATCCTAATACATGGAGTTGTAAAGAGGCTCAGATATCTTGAAAAAGCAGGGGCTTTCCTACCTCCTTCTTCAGAGAAGGTGGAGGGAAAGGCAAGAATCTCAAATTCTTGTGTTAAAGGTGGCTTTTCATGATATGTGGAGCTCTCAATTACAGATAACCTTTTTTCCTATCCAGTAAGGATTTGCATCTGTCAGGTTTTAAATACTGGTTTGAGTGCTTTTTTATTCCCTTGCAGTGGTAGAAAATGAAATTCAGGCAAGAATAGATAATATATTCAGCAACTTGGAACGTCTGGAAATCCTGTCCAGCAAAGAGCCTCCCAATAAGCGACAGAATGCTAAACTGTAAGTTCACCTTCTTTGCTGGGATAGTGTAGTCTTTGTTGTTATTTTAATTAAATTTATTGAAGCCCTTTGCCTTTTGATTTGAATGAAACATTTATACTCTGTATAACTTACCTCTGTGCTCTGTGCTAGCAAAGTTGAGGCACAGAGGGCAAAATCACTTTCCTACATTTAACCATAGACTAGTGATAGAGCTGGATTCATGGCTCTGTTCTGAGAGGATCAGAACGTATCACTTGGATGCTTAAATTTCTTCTTTATATGGCATTTGTGGAGGTAAGAGTTAGAATTACTTCAGTTGGTATAATTTTCTCTGGACCATTTTCCTACCCATTGGTGACTAAAATAAGGAGGTTTCTCAAGTGAGCAGTGGTTTGACCAGGAGGTTGGACCAGAGACCTCAGGACTTTCAGTTCTACTTTATTCTGTGACTCTGCTATTAATGTTTAGTCCCGAAATGTCTCTGTTGATACTAGGGATGGATTTCACATCACCTATATTATAGAGGTCAGTATCTGAAATAGTCATCTAGGCTTTCTTTATAGTAATCAAACATTTAAGCAGAGACAAGGGAGTTCTGGATGTCATTTGTTTTAGCCTAATGGAGAGGTCTTTTGTCTTGCCTGCTGACTTTTAAGCTAATTAAAGAAACTTGAAAGCTTAAGCTTTTATGGAAAGGGGGTCATGAAATAGAAACCATACAAATCCTACCATCTTTCCACATCTGTGTTAAATGAGGAATATAGATATAACACCTGAAGAGACTAGTCATGGGATAGGATGTCCAAGTCTATTGTTTAGCCCCCAGCTAAATCATCACCTATTTAGTAGAAAAATGAGGCATGGAAGATCTAAGTCTGGAATACAGGCCTAAGCTTGAATGACTTTTGTCTTATATAGATAAGTAGAACTCATTATTCTTTATTATTTGTCACTGTTAATTTATAATACTCCATTATTCCTATTAAGAGCACTGGAAAAGAATGGTATTTTTATCACTGGGAATGTCTTGCTGTTGTTGATCCTTTCTAGCCGAGTTGACCAGCTCAAGTATGATGTTCAGCACCTGCAGACAGCTCTGAGGAACTTCCAACATCGCCGCTACATCCGGGAGCAGCAGGAGCGACAGCGAGAGGAGTTGCTTGCACGTACATTCACTACTAATGTAAATATGCTTTACTTTAGTTCTCTGTGTTCTAGAAGCCTCCAGGCTTTCAGAGGGGTTTCAGGCAAGGCACAGGCATGACTCTATTAGGTTGCTGCTGTGAGATGTAAACACAATAAAGACAGAAAAGAATAACACGTGTTGAAAAGTACAACTCTCTCATGAGGGACAGTTGAGCTATTAAGAGGCAGTAGTAAAAGACTCCAGAAGCTGCTGCTCCTGTCTGGTCCAGTGCAGTTCTACCTGACTTTATCTAGTAGTTGCAAAGGGGAAGGTGAGTTAGGTACCAAATCTGCTTAGACATTTGACGTGGTTTGTGTCCAATGTCTTTGTCAAATCCTGTAAACTGTCTGATTTATACACCCTGCTCTTGGTAGATGTCAGCAAGCTTTAATTTGTCCAAATATTAATCACACAGCTAGGGGGAAAAAAAATCCCCAAACCTTGTTTTTTACCTAGAAATGATTTAGAAGTTTTTAATAACAGGGATGTGTTCCTACCTGTTCTTGTTAATTCTTAGTTCCTCCACTGGGAAGTTCCCCAGTGCAAATTCCTAGAGGAGTTTTGCTTAAATAATGTAGGTTTGCTTTCGGATTTCATTTTGCCGTGACTCAAAAGCTAGTCTTTGGTTTGGTTTTTGTGGCTTTCTTTTTTTCTTTCTTTTTGTTTTTTCTTTCTTGTTAATGGCATATAACTTAACATTCCTTATCTGTGTTGTCATTCACTGTTAGGGCAAGGAAGAATGAGTGTGAGCAGTCTATTTTCTTGCGATTTGGGAATTTCAGTGCACTTCTCAAAGCCTCACATAAAGATCACCCTGAGCTTTAGGTTGGCTATTTTGAAATGATAAACAAGACTTGAAAGGAACACTGAAACCTCATTTGTTTTTAAAACACTGTGGTGTTTCTCTGCAAATATGGAGACAATTTCCTACAGGAAAACATGTCCAGAAATAAAACACATGTAAGTGGAACAGTTTCGAAGAGCAGTAGCTCTGTAAATACAAAATCAATGGCAAATTGGATTGGTTTTTTTTTATTCCTTTAGATGCTGAAAGGTGCCTCAAGATGAAAAAACAAAATAAAACTATCATTATTTTGTATTTCTTTCAAGTCATAATAAAAATGTGACTTTTAAAGTAGAATGACCCTTTAATAGGAAAATGATGATTGATTTGTCAGTTGTTTGCCTAACTGTTGTGGTTAGAAGTTCACACATTTCTATTTATATACTACCCTATTAAATAGAAATGTCAGCTGAGCGTGTAAGCATCCTAAGTAAACCACTGTAACATACAGAACAGCTTTTGAAAGCTGTAGCAGTGTGAACAATTTGCTTAATTCAAAGAGAAATATGGTCTTTATGTTTAAGGCCTTCCCTTGTACCATTCTGGAGAACACCTCTAACAGGAAATGAAAGAGATGAAGCCATCAAGTATCCCTGCGAGGAGGGGCAAAAATCCACTTTGGTAGTTTTCTTGCTGCCTTGGGGTGTATAATAAAACCCTGCAAGCTCCTCATTTAGGAAATCAAATCCTTGCTGATTTGAAGTATTACAAATACCTGAAATAACAGCCATTCAGCTGCAAATCCAAGTGCTCCTGCTCTGCAGGCTCACGAAAGACACTTGTTTCAACCTTAGTACTTCATTGACATTTGATCAGAGATGTGTGTGCTGACACAGGTTCTTCATCCGCTGACTCTGACCCTGGGGCTGCTAACAACTCTGTCCTTTATTCATCTTTTACAGTAAGCAGAACACCCCCTGAGGCTGTACAACATCTAACACTGGATCATACATGTCATTCCCATATTAACTTTTATAACAATCATCAGAGTGTCCTCAGAGTGAGTTTGGTGATGTTATGTGCCTGTAACCTACAGCCAGCAGTCAGATGTAGGGTGTAAACCATCTTTTGCCTAAATATGAATTCTGCCTGTTGGTAGCTCTTGTACTGAGTACATGGGAGCAGGTAGAGCAGTGGTTCCCCACTCACCTCTTACCAGTATCATGATTCCTGTTCATAAACAAGCGTGGGAGTGATGAGCTGTTACCTTGACTCTCTGGAAGGAAAGGTGTCCAGAGAAGATTAAACTGGAGGCCTTTGAAAGACAAAAGTGATCACATGCTCCAACCTCTTGTGCAATCCAGGTTACAGAGTTTTATCCAGTTATTTCCATTTCAAGATGCATATTTAAGCTAATGCATCTTTTCTGGAAAAAATGTTATTTTTTTAATGTTTTCAGGGTTTTTTTGTAAGACCAGGCCTTGGGTGTTGAGCGAGTCAGAGCTTCAGGGAATGAGGTCAATGTCTTTTTGCCCTCATCAGAAACTTGCCATGTTGTAAACTTACAGGATGTTTTGCAGGCCTTTCGTCACTTAGAAATGTGATACTAAATCAAAGTCTTTCACTTGAAGTGATCAAATGACTCCTTGTTAAACACCTTCTGCTAGTCTGATGTTCTCTCTTGTAATGCCCTTTCCTGCATACATCAGTTTATAAGAAATTCTCCACTTTTAATCTGACTTTTTAGCTTTTGAGATCTAATTGCAGTTGAACACCTGGTCAACTTTGCCTTTTGGCTTGCTTCCTGTAGGCTTCTCTTACTTTTTTTCACTCAAATATTAATGTTGTATTTAACATCTGTACGAAAACACATTTAAAACACAATCCTTCAAGTCCTGTCAAGGTTTTTTTTTTGCCACATTTGTTTCTGCATGTTCTTTTTGTGGATCTAACTATGTGTGGGCAGTGTGAGTGAGCAGGCAAGGTAACCAAGACCCTGCATTTCCCCCACAGGACTCTGACACCACCATACCGATCGACGAAACATTACAGTTTAATGAATCCCTCCAGAATGCCCATCGTGGCATGGATGATCTTATTGGCAGTGGGACCAACATCCTTCAGGGCCTGAGGGACCAGAGAGTGACATTAAAGGTGGGGGCATCATGTTTTACCAAAAAGACCCCACATTCTTCTGTGTTAATGATGACTAAGTAAAATAAATACGTGAGTTTCTTTCACTACACTGCTTCAAGCTGAGAAGGCTTGAAGGCCCAAACTCCATTTAAACTAAACCTGAAATCTTTACATATTATAATCCTGTTAGGAATATCTTTAAGCTCTTTTGGTGGCTGGATGGCCTAGCAGTCTTCACTGCATGGTACTTGGTATCTGGAGTGATTAATGTTATGTTCTGTTCCCTTATGTTTTGTTTTGTTTTGTTTTGTTTGTGTTTGATTTAAGAATGGGAAGCTGTGAATTCTGTTCTTTTGGAAGCATCAGACCCTTATGTTTTCAGGGGGATATATCTTCTCACTCACAGATGAGGAAATACCTGTTCATACTCCTTTTCCCCTTAGCTTAGCTTTTTTTACACTACCAGACTTTGTTGCCCATTTACAAACCTGGCAGAAGCAGCTAGCCTGGAGACAGCTTACTAAGATCAGTGGGTTAATTTGGAAGCTTGTTATTCCATGTAACTTCTTGAGTATTGAATACAAATATGGATGAACCAAGTATTCCCAAATTATTGCAAGGGATCTTGCAACTGTTCTAGTTGTACAATTCCACTGTTCCACTGACTGCAAGACTTGAAGAGTCTTCACTTTCCTGTTTGCTTTTTGTGTTAAAAGCTTCATATTTGGTTTCTCTTCTCCAAGCAAGTTTTTCTTTTGTTCTAAACTAGTGTGAAAACATTGCTGTAGAGACAGAAGGGCTGAATTTGAAAGCATAATATCCAGGGTTTGATGAAATGAAGGTGAAAAATGTGATTATGTGTAACTAGCAAAGACATAACCTGATTTCAGCAAAGGGCCTTCCACAGAAGAAACTGGTTATCTAACTTGGTACTGCAATTCTATGTATCTTATGGATTGAGAAATTGTTTTGCATGTATGTCCAATATAGTTGATATAGGTTCTGTCCTCAAAGAGCTTTTGTGATCTTAAGTCAGGTTTATATTTAAAGCAATTGCCAAATTTCACCTTTTTATTCTTCTGCAACCAAAGATTCAGTGGACTGGGAGAACAGAAATTAGAGGTTTTATTTGAAGAGCACTGTGATGGGAATCTGTGCTATTGCTCCTGCTCAGAGAAGAAGTAATTAAGTCTTAAAGCTTTCTGAAGCAGGGTGTGCTGTTAAGGACTTGGACCCAGAAGGCATTTTGAGAGACTAGGTCCATTATCATTACCATGGTGTGACAAGGCTGTTTGCTGCCTCCCATCCTGCAGCTCACTATGTTTACCTGTCATGTGCTTGCTGCTTATGATGTGGAAACTGGTGGCATCCCCATTTTGAGTAATACCAACTGCTTCAGCAGTGAAACAAAACCAAGGTGTGGGCCTGCCTGCAGTACAGCTGCTAGCAGCCTTTGTTCAGTGCTTTCTCTGGAAAGATTTTTTGAAATCACATTAACTACACTTTTATGTTCCTTTTCATTGCACTCTACCATTAGCCTTACAAGTTTCTAGACCCACGTTTCAATCTCTTGTTGGTATAGCAGGAAGGAAGTTGTACAAGAAAGGCTGTCTGATGAAGAAACTTCAAGCTTTTATTAGACTGTCTGAAAAAGGACCAGGAAAACTCTTTATGCCTCTGTAGGGAGTGCATGTTCTCTGAGCCACTCATCATGATGTCTCCATCTGGACAGATTGTTCTGTATTTTTAACCACATTCCTGTTCATGTATGTGAATTAATTTGTCTCATCATTCAGCTATTTCCAGGGTCCTGGTCTCAGATTGTAGGAACTGTTGGCTAAGAGCAAGTTCCACCGAGCAGAATTCATCCTGTGCCACCCATGATGAAATGTTCTTGGACTGTGTAAAATAAGAAGTGTGGGACCATGAGGTTGATTGTTTCTCTGTGCTGTCTTTTTATTCTTAGGGTACTCACAAGAAGATCCTGGATGTGGCCAACATGTTGGGCTTATCCAACACAGTGATGCGGCTGATCGAGAAGCGAGCCTTTCAAGATAAATACTTCATGATTGGGGGAATGATTCTGACTTGTGTCATTATGTTTCTTGTCGTGCAGTATCTGACATGAGCTACTGAACTGTTATCAGAGGAGATGGTCTTTTGGAGCAAGATGGACTGTCCTCCAAACTCTATGTTCCTTCGAGTGCTGCTTTGGATAAGCCCCTCCTGTGAACTCCAGTGTTCACAAATCACACTCATGTGGGAAGCACGTAGGGAAACAAATTTCTCTGGGGACACTGTAGTTAAGAATGGCCCTATAAAAAATAACCCCACCTTGTTGTCTGCAAGTTTAAGAATCTGTTAAGTAGGAAGCAGAAGTGAAAATTTTACCCAGCTGTATTGCAAGGTCTTTTTGGATAGAGATAGGTAGGGATAAGAGGATTCAAAGGCAGAGCATAAGATGTAGTGAGCCTTTCCTGTGCTAGCTAGAAGTGACCCTGATCACTGTATATTGCCATTGAAAGAATGCCTCTGAGGAGACTTTGCATCATTTGTGGCATGCTCCTGGGGAGCCAGTGTGCAGAAAGGTGGGAAGTAAAGAATTCCCATCTGCAAACTCACTGTTTTGCTTGGAGGGAGAAGGATTTGTGGGGAAGGGTTTTAAAGCACGGTTATAACCTCAGCTAACTTTTTTGTTTACACATACAGTATTAACCAGCACAAATATTGCTGGTTTAGGCTGAAATGCTTCTCACTGAGGTATGTTCTGGTACCTTTTTATGCCCCGCTGCTTCCCAGTGGAAGCTGAATGTTGTACTGCCTGCTTTGAGCCAGAGGCACATCAAGCCTGTGTCATCCCACTGTGCCTAGTACCAAATCCAGCCTCTAAGACATTTTTAATGCTAGTGCACATCACGTTTTGGTGACTTGTATTCACTTTCTGAGGTGGTTGGTTGGGGTTTTGTGCTCTGTAGCTGGTATTTTTTGGGTCTATGAAGCAGGCAAGTCCTCACTGTGCTTTGATTGAAGTTTCTGATTTTTATGTTCATAGAGCTAGAATGGGCTCTCTGTGCTGTTCACAGTAACAGTGAGATCAGGGCAAGACCATTCACTTAAAATGAGTTGTGTCAAAAGAGTTTCCTGAAGTTACGTGCCTTTGGATGGTAAAAACATCCCTTGTACTGGGGAAGGGTGTTCTTTGTGTTACCCTTTGTACATGCAGAATTACTGTGAAATTCTCATACACGTCATCTCACAGAGGTGGTGACAGCCAGCTTAGATGTATCTCCTCAGTTGTAGATATCTACCCACATTTAAACAGTCACAGTTATAAAATGCCTCATTGTTTAAATATGGCACTTTTGCTGCAGACAGGGGGGGGCTCCACTGGAACGGCCTTCCTAAGATTTTGGGCATCATCCACTTCAATCAGCCTTCAGATACATTCCCATCTGAATGTGTTTACAAGTCTGGACCATTTCCAGATGTCCAGCAGTGGAACAGAAGGGTCATATTCAGATGATGCGGCATAATGATGGCAATTCCTTGGGTTTTTTTCTGTCTGGAATGGTTGTGGGTCTCTTACTGAGTAACAGATTAAGAGTTCTGCATTCTGTCTTTGCTGCAATAAGCTTTGCTTTTATTATGTAGGCTGGAGAAATGGTATTAATAACTGTACAAAGCGAGTTTGGGTTAATATGGGCAAGTGAAGCAGGGTTTAGCTGTTTACATACAGCATGACTGAAGTACTGACTGACCTATGTGCTGTGGTATAGCTTTATGCCCAGATGAGAGAACCCAGTTTGATCTGCTGTTACAGGCCAGTCAGCTTCATACTTGGAACACAGGATGGGAGAAGAGCCAGGGCTCAGAGCACTAGCTGGCTCCTGCAGATGCAGGAGTGGAAGCCAAGCTGCTCTCAGTGCCTAGATAATCCTCTCACATGGTTCAGCAGAAGAAAGCCTCAAGGCTTGTTAAATATCCAGTGTGCAGCACGCCTTCTGCTTGTCCACTGTGTGCTTCTTGATGTGTTTGATGCTTCTGAAGTGTTCTGTGCTCTGTGTTCCTCAGTCCACCAGGCCTTCCCAAGGAAACACGTTAGCAGACCAAGTCCAGTCATTTGAGGGACAAGGGAATTAGAGGAAGTCTGCAGTGATAAATCATCTGTCTTGCTGTATCTTTAATCTAAATCCTAAATCATTGTGATAAACTGGTCCAATTCCACCTTGATTTTACAACTTCATGGTTTGGCTTTCAAAGAATGTTCTCTGATGGTGTTTCAAGTTCAAATAGTTGTGACCTGGCATAGCAGGATTTGCTTATACCAAAGTGGGAGTTCAGCCAATTTGTTTCCTGTTTTTGGCTTGTGGTAGGAGCCATAAAATAATTGGAACTGGATTTTTTTGTTTTCTGTTTTTGAAACTAGGTCATCATTTTAATACATTTCCCTGTTTACTTTGCCATTTTAGAGTGTCTGTGTTCTCATGTAGGCTAATTTCCCCTTTGTAAGCAAAGTGTCCTTGCTATTCATTGTCTAGAGGTGAGTTTGGGGCATGAAGGAAGTACCTGGCTAACTGGATTTGATGACTTTAACATATCTGTGCTACGTGTTAGATCCAAAATGATGTACAAGAGCATCTGTGCTGTCTCAGACATGTAAAATCCTCAAAGCCTGTCAGTTCTTGCTACAGCAGGAGCACAGATAGGCTCAGGATTCCTGCTAACATGAAATGAGACAGAGCTGAAACCCTCCTGTCTTTACAGATGTTCCTGCTGCAGCTCTCTGTAGTTTCCTTTCTTACTAAAGACCACATTTCCCTCAACAGAGCTGTTTTGCTTCTGAACTTGTGTGGCATGGCAAGTGTCCCAGCTGTTGGATGAACTGCTCTCATGAGAGGACACCGTGGAAATTAACTTGCCTCTAGAAAAAAACCCTTTTTACCAGTATTTTATACATGTTTTGGGTTGCAGTCGTTCAAGTTCCCCACAGCTACAAACCACTTATTAAATCACAAACTATCCAGCAAAGAATGTAAAAAGCAACACCTCCTTTAGCATGAGACAAAACCAATGATGATACTACCTGTGACTGCAGTGACAACATTGAATGTCTCAACAGTAGGAAAAAACCTATCTCTTTGTGAGCTGTAACATAATGCAGAGGTGATGGTGTTATGTTTTCATAGTAACACTGTGTAAGTGGAATCACTTAATGGCTTATGTTGGAAAGGGACCTTAAAGCTCATCCAGTTCCAACCCCCTGTCACGGGCAGGGACACCTTCCACTAGAGCAGGTTGCTCCAAGCCCCTGTGTCCAACCTGGCCTTGAACACTTACATTAAAATATTATTTCATTAAAATATAAATATCTCTATGGAAAACCCACATTTCAATATTTTCAGAGAGGGAGCCAGAAGAAGACACAGGTGTCATGTGCTGCCTGCAGGTCTGCTTGTGGGGTGCACACCAGGGAGCCAGACCTGGCTTCTTCCCTCCTTTCTGCTCTGCCACTCTTTTTGCACAGACTTTTAGCACGTTTAGGATTTGATTACACAGAAATTGAACAGACCTAACAGGGCACCGGGAGCAACAAGGCATTCCAGTGTGTCCAGGAATCTGTGCCTAAAGGAAAACACTGCCTCTTCTCCTCCCTATGAGTCACCAGTGACAACTGCAGACACAACCATTTCTAGCCCAAATATCCGTAGGCATTTCTAGTCAGACCAGTCCTATTGCTGCAGCACTGGTAGCTCAGACAAAGCAGAAATGGCCCAGCAGGCAGGGTGCACCCACCAGAGCCACCCAGAGTGAGCACAGGCACTGCTGAGCTACCAAGAAACTCGGGTTGGAGTAGGCAGATGCTCCAAACCTCTCCCTGGCAGACCAGAAGGGGCTGCTATTTCCTTACATCCCATCAGCTTCTCCTGGCAAGGGACATAACTAGCCTCTAGGGAAGGGAGTAAAGGCTCCAGCCTGTGCATCACTAGAGAGACTGAGAGTTTAACACACGAATATTGTGGCTGTGACCATAGTGATTGATAGTCACATGAAAGTCCTCACTCTGCCACCTTGGAGCAGCTGCTGTTTGGCATACTGCTGAAAATATTCCTTGTCCTGTGGTAGATACAAAACAATCAGAAGGAGCTGACAGCCCAGTGAGAGACAATATTGGGGTTTTACATAGTCGTAATGCTGGAGGAGGGTCATCTTTGTGTTTTACACCCTTACAGCCTGTTAATCACTCTCCCCAATCCTCCCAAATCACTGCAGGGAACAGTAAAAAGATGGGTTTCCTGCTCTTCACAGGCAGCAGCACATGCAGGACATGCTTTAGCCCAGAAGCATATGGGATTTCAGATCTCAGAGCTCTTACCACGTGTTGGCTGCACTCACCTTACAAGACAAACCCATTTCTTGTGGTCCCTATTCCCCCCCATTACTGTGGCCAGCGAATGTTTTGAAGTCACAACCATGACCTTCCAAGCCTCTCTGGTCCTTCCAGGAAGGTACGGCTATTGGATATCAGTACTCCTCTATGACTCACCCAGACCAAGTGCAGGGCCTGGGATAACGTGCCTCCTAGGAATAGGTGCACCCAAAGTTCACCATCTCTGCAGTGCAGACCCAACAAAAACCAGATAGTTACTGTACTAAGTAGTGCCAGCCTTTCACCAACTGGCAATTAAATGAGATTAGGATAATGAAGCCCAATTATGGCATCTATCTAAACTTACAATGCTCTGGCCCACAAATCCTGCAGATAAGATACAGCAGCCAACCCAGAAGCTGACACTTGTCACCTCTTTCATGTGAAGTGACAAAACAAAAATCAAGTAAAGGCTGAGTGGAGGGTTTACTGTGGAGGCATTTCCTTATTCAACAGAACAAGAGTCTAACAAATCACTGCAGATGTTCTTTACAAAATGAGTCCAAGAGTATTTATAACCTTTTTATTCTAAATTACCAACAAGAACCTTAACAGAACTGAACTTTAAAGTAAGCCTCATTTTGTCTGTGCTAGTCAACATGTACTGTTTTACACTGGTAGGAATACAAAAGGGGAAAATCCAGGACTTTGAAAATGTAAAAAGCATTTCCTTCTTTCTTGACAAACACCAGATGTGGTTTCTTAATGCTCTGTATCTTTAGATCCCATTTTTGACTTTGCACCTGT